GAAACATGAGTTGAACCGCAACGTATCGGGATTTGGCCGCGTATCTGCACGCAGAAAATTTTTCTCGAATAATGTAGAATACTCATAATAAAATTTACTAGATTTGCTACGTACCGGTAAGATATACGCGTATTCAACCGGAAATTAATGTATGACAATAGAAAAGTAATAGTTTGATCAGATACATCTTGTAACCTAAAGGTAAATAAATTTGCCATACTAACAAGGAAATATGAGAAAAGTAGAAAAAGTCCCATACTAATATGTGTATATTCGACGTTGCAGCTTGAATTGCGCGTTGTTTCTTAAGACAGTATAAGAAAAAATATAATCTAGGGTGGTACCTACTGTGAACTGTATAGAAATATTCGTTGCGTATCTGGCAATAGTTTATGTTCTTCATAGAAATGCGATAGTAACCGCGGACCGCGGACACGCAGACAGCGCACGATCATCAATCGTGAATGTGAAGTGTGAAGTGAGAAGCATGTATACAATGTATAGCGATACCAGCGATAAGTACCAGGTAAGAAAAGTCTCATCCAATATTTGCTGCGTTCGGCAGCTAGCAGAGAGAGCTTGAATCACGTGATCCTCAACCAATCTAAAGAACCGAGATGTGAATTGCCGAACGATTTTCGAGGTTAAAAGCACATTCGACGCCTCGGATTTGCATTGCCGAACGCAGTATAATTGAAGTTATTTTTAAGAAGATTATGTTACAAGAATTCACGTAACACTAACTTCCAAATGCCCTTGGAATGTTCTTATGACGTAGAACGTTCCTTGGAGGTTAGTGCTGTGTAAGAATATCGCGCTGCGCTTATGCTTGATGGCTCGGTACCGTGTCTCAATATATATTTTTTCTACTATTTATGTATAGTTTCTTGTTATTTTGAAATAAGTAAAATACATATATTTTTATTTACAGCTACCAGAAATAATCAATGTAGACAGTAATCCTGATGCATCTTGTAGTAATGCACATCAAGGCTTTATTTTTCCATCGAAGGTTTCATCTTCATACCTTTGCAACGATAGTCAACTCCAACGACCCCAATCTACAACTTGCATACTATTAGAGAACGCAAGTGTCATAAGTAGTGATAGTAGTGAGTTGACCGAAAGAAATGTACAAGTTAATAATGAGAACAGTGAGCGGTACGTACATTTACACACACACACACACACACACACACACACAAACATACACATATACATTAATATATATGTACACATGTAATAATATTAATTTATATTAATTACAGAATTTGAAGAGGTACTTGCAAGAAACCAGCGAAGGTAAAATTATATTATCTGCATACTATAATAACAATGAAACCCTTAATTCTGTACTGCGTTCTCGCTTAGTACGCCTCATTATCAAAGGAGAGAAAGATAGAATATTATCAAAAATCTCAGCAGCAGAGAAATTGACTAATTTTGTGTTAGTATCTTATATTAATACTTTTTATACAATAATATAAATATATATATATGTATGTGTGTTAAATATATTTTGTTTTTTCAAAAGATAGTTTCCCTGAGCTATGTCACAATTATTTTTTTACTTGCAGTATAACTACTTCTCGGTTTCAAAAATTAGCAGGAGACATTGTTAAAATATTTAAAGGAGAGTCTTGTTACACATATTATACGCCGTTTACATGTAAGAATGGTGTTCGTATACAGGCAAGTGGTAAGCTCTGGGATCATTATAATTATATAAAAGGAGATTTAAGAAAACAAGGAATACTCCTTCAGAGATCAATTTCCAAACCCATACAAGAGACATATGCACAGACTGAAATAGATGGTACTATCCTAATATTAATATGACATTGGCCATTTTACACGTGACTGTATATAATTTTTATACTTACAGAAGTCAAACTGCAATGGTTATTCCAGCATACAGAACCGTGGGAGCAAGTATATGAATATTGGAATAATACATATAGGGCTAGGAACAAGTTATTAATGCAAGACAAACTAAATGTACTTGAATATTTTAATAAGTTTCCTTGTCTTCGATTAAACAAAGGACAACATCTGGTAAGAGTTAAAACAGGCATTTGCGAACACATACACACACACGCATATACATACTTATTACAAAATGTTTCTAGCTCGTAGAAGACTTCAACAGACAGTATCCCGAAAAAGAATCGATATTTCCTAAAAGGTGGAATATTATTAAAAAAGTTATTATTGACCAACTACAGCAATTGAATAAACGTCTCAGTGTTTCAGATACAGCTCTTATATCTATTTTACCAGCAATATCTTCTGGTATTGACATTTTACCATTGCATTAAAATTGTATTATTAAAATGTTCATGTTTAATTAGTGGATTAGTTATAAATTTTTCTTTTTTTTCTTTATAGATAAACAAGATGCGGTAATTTTTTATTTACTTCCGATTCTTATCGAATCTCGTAGAGCAGGAAGTTATAAGAGGAAGAGAAATACGGACTGTGAGCAGGACAGTGAAAACAACGTCAGAAAGTTAACGTTACAAGAATGTAGAGAGGCGTTTATGTTGCACGTACAGGTATTTAAATCAAAAAATGATAGATAATAAAATGTATATAAATATTGAATCTTTTATGAGTATGAATAGTATTTTAGTTCAAATTACTACTTTGTATAGACTGTTGCTGATTTGGATCGTGCTTTAGATGATTTGAAGAGAAGACTGCAAAGAAACAAAGATACTTTTCAACCGACACCTCTTATAGTTGGACCTTTAGTAAACATCGAATCATCATACGTGATTGTAAACGACCAAAAGTTTAAAGTGGATTCATGTTTGCAAGCTTTTGAATTAACTTTCAAGATATTCTTTGCTGTTGATTGCAAGTATCCGACATATGCAGAAACGTTTTGGATATTTTTACAAAAAACTGGTTTCGATATTCACTTACAAGATAAATGTAACAACTCGTTAAACATTTTGTTAGGTCGCGTTAACGCAGAAATGGAGCGTTTACTTGCAACATAATTTTTCCGAACATAAATATAATTTCATGTGCAATCGTTAATAAGATGTTTCGGTGCTATATTTGTAGTACATTTTTATGTTTCGATAATAAGTCGCTTCTAAATCATTACAAAGAATTCCATCCTTTATTAAAAATATATAGATGTAACGATAATAATTGCAGCAGATCTTTTGCTATATTTGATTCTTTTAAGAAACATAGATATAACAAACATTTATCAGAGACTAATATTACATATAATAACCAAACTATAAAACAATATGATCAAAACGTCGATTTCATAGATGCAATAGATAAATTCTTACCGGTGGGAACAAATCCAAATATACAACATTATGAAGATAAAAAATGTAAAAATGTGGAGTATATAGTAGATCCCATACAAATTAACGCTGATTCTGATATTAAAATTGATTTAGAAGACGATTTATTTTTCGACATTTCACAAAACGATAGCCACAATACTAGTGAAGCGACAAACGTAAAAGAGAAACATAAAGAAATGATTAATTTCACAAGTAAGTTATACGCTTATTTAGACGTACCTCGTGTTAGGGTAAATGATATTGTGAGAAGTACAGGAAATCTCATCGACAATTATTTACTTTTACTAGAAAAACATTTATTAAATCGACTCGAAACTTTTAATTTAAGTATAGATTCAATATCTGCTATTAAAGAAGTATTCGCAGATTTTAGTGACCCTTTCACGGATTGTAAAAGCGAATGGCGTTTTTTTAAATTGTTGAAATGCTATGATACATTTATACTTCCTGAACAATATTTAATTGGAGAAAGAGAAGAATTCCGAGAAAAGAATGGCGTTAATATTATTGAAAGTATTCCAGTGTATGCACAGTTTATTCCTCTTCGCAAAGTTTTTCAAAAAATATTTGAAATCCCAAATCTTTTTGACGAAACATTAAGATATTACCAATCGCTGAGATCAAATAACAATATTATAGAAAATTTTGTTCAGGGATCTCTTTGGGAAGAGATAAGTTCGCATTTTATAGGAAAGCTTGTTTATCCTATTTTTTTATTTTTTGATGATTATGAGAATAATAATGTGTTGGGCTCTCATAAAGGCTTATCTAAGTGCGGCGCAGTTTATGTAACTATACCATGTTTACCTCCTTACATGCAATCAAAGTTAGATAATATTTTTCTGTTCCTATTATTTAACTCACTTGATCGACAAATGTTTGGCAATAGAAGTGTTTTTCAAAAAGCAATTGACGAGTTGCATTACCTACAAACAGAAGGTATAACAATTAAACATAAAGATGGAAACAAGCAAGTATATTTTGTTTTGTCTTTAGTGGTGGGAGACAATTTGGGTGTCCATTCTATCTTTGGTTTCGTGGAAAGTTTCAATGCTACATTTTTTTGTCGATTTTGTCTAATTAATAGAAAAAATATTTGTGATTTTTTAGATGAACGTATGTGCATTCTCCGTAATGTAGATAATTATACTTCATTTTTGGCATTAAAGGATGTGAGTAAATCTGGTATAGTTAGTCAGTGTGTGTTCAATGATTTAAATTATTTTCACGTTACAAAAAATTTATGTGTAGATGTTATGCATGACATTTTAGAAGGTGTATGCAGATACG